TATCACAGTGACCCAGTGGGCTATGCTGGTGGAACACTTATTCTTTTGAGGTTCTACCATACCAGGAAGGTGTTGGATAGTGATTAGATACAAAACAAATGTCAAGATGTTTCCCTTGGGTGACCAGCAGTGCCATGATGATTCTATCTTCCCTATGGAAATGGGGCTTTCAATGTCCATACTCTCCACCAAGTCGACTGACAAGCCTCACTAGCCAAAAATATTGCAGCTTGAACCATGCATGTGTTGTGTTTGTGAGACGCATATAAACGACCCAAGTTCGGTTACTCACTTAACCTCACCTGGTCAAAATGGTGGATCTGTAAAATTCAGCCTTTGGGTTTACGGAGATTCATAGACGGTCTTACGGAGGTCTCCCCTCATCATCTGACTTCACAGGAATTTATCTGACTACAGGAGAATTCTTGATAGATCCAGAATGCGCAGATGAATGGTCCTGTTAGCTGAAGACGCTGATAAAATGCAGTCTTCTGGACACATTGAGTGGGAATTTGAGAATGTTTAGGATGCGTTTCTCACCATCTAAATCTAAATTGTTGCTCCGGGGCTGGTCTTCAGCGGTGCCTTGTCTAACAACAGAGAGTGAAGCAGTTTAGTGTGCTGACCACTTCACTTATCTGGGAAGTTGGATCAAACCTAATGGGTCGGTGACCGACGAAATCTTTGCACGGATATCAAAGGCTTGACCGGCTTTTGCCAACTTACGACATCTGAGGTGCCACCTCGATATACGAATGTCTATTAAGGATCTGGTGCACTGTGCTGTAGTTTCCTCTGTTCTACTGTATAGCTGTAAAACATGGCCATCAACGGTAGAGGAAATGCAAAGAGTTCAGGTGTTTGACAACCGTTACCTTCCTAGCATAAGCAAGGTGTCACCATATCTAAAGACAGGTGCAGGGCTTTAGGAAGGATAGGAAATTCAGTCGGTGAGGTTGTGAACCTTTATGGACTTAGATGACTGGGATGTGTTGCGCAGGCTCAGTCACCGTCTACCTCGTCACGCAATGTTAGCTGAAATAGGCTCAGAATGGAAAAGGGCTCGGATTGGCTAGAACAAAACATGGCATCAGTGTATGCAGTCTTTGACTGTTGGTTTGAGCTATATAGGGCAAAGGGAGACCACGGTTGGCGTCGTTGTAACAAAAAACCAGTGGTTTTAAACTTTGGTTTTTAATGCCCAGAACCGATGTCAGTGACAGACGCATCTATACAGTCTTAGACTTAATCGCAACACTGAATTCAGCATTTCCTCAATCTTTCATCCTCTTTTTCACTACTTTCTACTTCTTTTGTTCCTTCTTTCTTCACCTTCCATTTTATTAGTTTGTTACTTGATCTGCTGATATATGGCGTGGCAATTTGTACCGTTAGGGAGTAATGAACTCATTTTAGCTTATATTTACAACGTTGCGGGCAGTCAAATGATTAATCGCATTGGTGAATAGTACAGACGAGAAGTAATAATTATATACAGAATAAGTCATTTATGGAGTCAGTATTACGAATAACTTCACAGGCCACCCTAGCAATGACTGGAAGGACCAATCAGATTTTTTTTCTTTCGGTCGAAAAAACAGTTTTTCTTCTAATGAAATGCACAACCCAAAATGGTTATTTCAGCAGCTGTTTAAGGTGACGTTTAAAACCATTCTAGACCCTGAGGTGAGTTGGTAAATTCATGTGATTCAAAAAGATTACCACTAGATAGAGGTACAATACCATCATATTAACCAGTGGTGTAAATCACAAACTTCAATCCATTGCTAAAACCCCCTGGATTTAAAAAAAAAAACGTATTTGTTCTGCACCTTTACATTGTAGTTGCTTTAAGTGCGTTAACAGCCTGTGTGAACTCTACATTCTGAACCTTAGTTTTAGAGCATAACTACACCCTCAAGGGAATCAGGATACACTCAAATCAGATAAGTTCGATAACCAGTTAATGTATTCAGAGTTATTTTTGATGAAGTGGAGAAATATACTAAGACACAATAAAGTCATCATAGGTAAATATCAGTGGTAACTAAGTTTCAACCAGTTGTATATAGAAAGTGATTTCTCGCCATTGCAGGCAGTCTGTTGGGACAAGAAGGCTCACACAAAGAAAACTATGAATTACCCTGAGGGATAACCCTGATCACATTTGTCTAGACAGATTACATTGTGCAAATGAAGTTTGAGCATACGGGTGGTACATGGTAAGGTAACATTCTAAATCTCCAGGCTGACGTTCGTCCTGAAACGAAAACACAGTCTGTAGACCAAAACTCGATACATAAATTACTACATTTTGAAAATAAAACCCCTCAAACCATGAAGGTTATATACAAACACCTGTAACCAAAATTTGAGTGTGCCGATACGAACTTATAGATGATATTGAATTGTGTACTATGAGCTGACAGTATGAAATAATATTTCTTGTTTTCAGTGCAACTTGAAGTTTTGATTTAACACAGGAAGAACAAAAACCGCAACTACAAAACTGTTTTTAAACGCAATTCAAAACTAAGACGATCGAAAAGCCCAAAAGCAGTCAGCTGATTCATTCAAATTATCAGAACCGACATATTTATACGAATCCTATCTTAATGAAAATAGAATATAAGGAAAACCAATAGAGTTGTAGTGCCTCAAACGAATATTTCATATGCATTTGAGTGATTGTTGAAAACGGTTATAAATGTGTGTTTAGTTCATAAATTCACTATAATACACTTCATTTGATTTTGCGTCTGCTACAGAGTTGAGTGACAGAAAACAGAACAAGCCCCATTGACGAAATAGTCTGTTAGGCAGAACTTATTGAAGAGTAATAATTCAATTGGTTCAAATAAATTTCAGTGAAATTTATTCATTTCCAAATTTAGCTAACAGAAAACTGGCCAATCACATAAGGATCCATAGAGAACAATAAGACAGGTGGAAGAGTTCACGATTTTTATGTTATAAATGCATTTTACCTGGGATCTGAAGATATCTGAATTTTCTTCAACTGGATCGACTTTCATATCAAACTAGCGGTGAGTAGATTGAAGATTTCGGATAAAAGTCTCATCATAAATTACGTATCAGAAACTCGGTTGTATAGGCTAGCAATAAACAATAACCTGGAGTCCAAATCCCTAGATTGTAACATTTAGTGCAGAGTAAAATAGCTTTCCCAATTAAACTAGAAATAAATAATAAAAATAAGATTAAAGACTGTCTGTTCAAACATACAGATTACGTTGGATTTTTCTGATATCAACCGCTTACGCAAAGCAAATTAGAAATATTCTTTCGTTTAAAATTGTAATGGTCTGAGATATTTTCAAATATATTACTGGAAATGAATATTTTAAGTACAGTCAGTGAGGTGAATTGCACAGCGGATGTTAGGTTAGTTTTGGGGTGCTTTGATCTGTTCAGCTATATGAACTGAATTGATTCAGGTACTGATGAAATTGGTGCTAAATGATCTAAGTGAAAGTGAGATGTTCGGATAACCCCAGGGTAGCTGCAGTAATACTTATTGGGACTAGTGACTTCTTCTCGTACTTTATATTTCTTTTGACTGCATTCACTTATCTTCATCCTTCACCTCACTACCTTTTTACTTGATGTGCTGATATGAGGTGTGGCAACTCGGACCGTTACGCAGTAATGCCTGGTCCTATGTTGATAATGATGATGATACTAGTGACTTCAAATTTATGGTTTTTGTCAGCAATAGATATCGTATGCACCGATCACTTGCCTTCCCGGTGACATTTTCGGCTTCAGGAGTATGAAAGTTTGTGATCTGCACTTTTTGTTCCCAAAGCAATGCAGTAATTTTCGAACGAGGTTGTCTATGATGTCGGTCTCATCATACACTGAGCCTTCTGCAAATATTTGACTTTATTATGTAGTACAGTAACACTTCAATACTATTTTCACTGTATTGTTAGATGTAGAGGAAGTATATAACTCCCTCTCACAGAACCAGCTATTTACACGGTTTCACAAAATCTGTTTACTGTAGCAAAAAAAGAAATACTATAAAATTGCACTGAAAGATTTAAGTTACGCGTAATCAACTTATTTCATGTGACTTACCTAATAACAAATCGAGGTAGTATTAAAACATTAATCGTGTTCAGATTCGCATACTAGGATGTCAAACAAACAGATGATAATTGTCGTTATAATATAGAAGCGAAAATTCGATAACTATACGATTTCACAATCACAGACTATGCTCGTCACTGTATCGTTCAAACTCATCGAAAGTAACTGTTCTAAACAGCAATCAAGACTACGACTAGAAATCAATCTAATAATTTCTCATTTGTTTTTGTGAAGTGGAAAGCATACATTGTTGGAGCTAACATGCGATATTTTGCTGTTTTTAAGTATCGTGTTGAAAAGTTAAATGAACACTGCTTCCGAACAGACACTTAATTACGTCCAAAATACTAAACCAAAATAAACTAGACAGCTTACACTATGTGGTAATCACCACATTTGCCGAAAGTATACTTCACTTTATTTTCTGTGATCTGTTCTATCCACTGCTTTTAACCAAACTCAAAACTTTTTTACTCGGTATATTTACGTTGCAAGAGTAAAGATAGCCACAAAATATGATGTCTAATACCAATAAAAAGACAAACTGAATAAGACAAGACTTTATACGAATCCGCACATCCAAACGCTCATCGACCATACAAAATTTCAGTCTTTATCGAACCGAACAAACATGTGTATGAATATCATGTGAGATGCGGACGAAACAAAAAAATACCACTGTGAAAATTACATATATATATATATATATATATATATATATATATATATATATATATCAACAGAAACAGCTTAGGAACATGTAGCTGACCGAACTTTAATAAACTCTTGGATTTTGGAGTCTAAAGTTGCTGAGATCGACTTGTGAACTTGTCTTTTTTCTTCCAAAAGCGGAAGAATTTTTTGTATTTGCTTGGTGATATATTCTATCCTACGATTGAAATGACTCTCTGCCTCCGAAACTGTCTGGAATAGAGTTCTAGTTACATCAAACGTAAACATACCATCTCAACATAATAACCAGTGCCAATATCTACCAGTACGTGTGAAGTATCAGAAAGCCTGCCAGGTACACATAAAGTCGAAGTAAGAGGAACAAGGATATCACTACTTTGTCTCTCTGGAGTCAGTTCGCTGAGACAATTCTTCGAGGAAATAAATTGTGTCTGGAGAGATTTCAATTGCTGTATTGATGCAGATATGAATTGCATTTTTTGCTCCAACTGTCTTGCAAGCTCCTGAAGCTGCGGTATACTCAGTTCAGTAATGTTAACTATATCAGATGTCATCGAGAGTGTACACTTCTAACCACAAATCGCGCTTACCACATCCAATATCCAATATCTTCTTCCAACAACATCCAACATCAACAGTGCGAGTAGAGGAAACTTGCAGTTTTTGAGCCCTCACTTCTGGATCTTGAGGCTTGGTTCTTTTTGTTCCGTTGCACTCCTTCGATGGTCGCAGTGGTCTTTACGTTTTCTTGCTTATAGCATTGGAGGTATTGTTTGTCTATTTGAAGGTGTTTTATCTGCAAATTGTAGCTTGGCTACTTTAGGGGGGGGAGCAACAGAGCTGCTGATAAGATCAATCAACCGTTTGCAATTCCTGTTGTTGTGGGCACCCGCAAGTAAGTGTTAAGCGTTATTTATATAGTGATAGAAAAGGGGTGAGTGGGGAGTGAGAAAAGGAGAAGTGAAAAGTACTTTTGAAAAGATACATATGACTGGTAATAATATAGAGGAGAGGTGCGTCTCACTGCAGGTACTGGGGTTGGGGAATACAGGGATGGAAGGGCGTATCACCGGTTGCTACTAACATATGTTCGTGGCAAGCCATTTGCGCTCATATACTCATCCAGTAGTCTTTTCAAGGAGTTGACTGATGTGGCTGTGGCCACTTCTTTTGGCAGAGCGTTCCATAAGGCACATACTCCACGGGAGAAGAAATTAGATCTTACTCTAGTCTTTGCCCTATGGTGGGGTATGCTAGTGGGGTTCCCACTGGATTGTTGGTTTTGGACCGATAATGTTATCCTATTTGGGCGGTCCACTTGATGAATGATCATGTAGGCTGTTATCAGATCACCTCGTTTTCTTTGATAGCTCAATGTGAACAAGTTGAGCTGTCTGAGAAGTTGCGCACATGTTTTGCCTGTTGGTCCGACAATCAACTTTGCTGCTCTTCCTTGTACCTTCTCGAGAGAATTTGCGTCTCTCTTTAGTAGTGGAGAGGCTATCGTGTTGAACACCTCTAACGTAGGTTATGAATACCTTGAGGAATAACTCTGGGGTTAACAATCCAAGTTGCCTTCTTAGAAAGTGCACATTGGCGTTCGCCTTCGCTGCCATCCTCTAATAGATACCAGTAGTAGTATCCAGTGTATCAGAGAAGTTTGGTCCTAGGTCCTTCTCTGTGAATACCTTGGTGATTTCACGCTTGTTAAGAGTGTAGTTGATTTTCATCGCCTCTGGTGTGCGAAGATACACCACCTTGCACCTCTCCAAATTAAAGCTTAAACCGTTTGCATCTGACCAGGACTCCAGCTGCAGCAGGTCGTTTTGGAGCACTCCTCTTCGTCGCCTATCGTCCTTCACATTTTGACGTCGTCGGTGAATGGGAGGATAGATGAGATTTTAGTGGGGAGGTCGTTTATATACAGTTAAAATAGGAGTGGTCCAAAGATCGCTCCTTGAGAAACGCCTGTTCTTACTTCCCTCCAGGTTGATCGGATTCTGTTTACTTTGGTGCAGAATTCTCTATCCAGTATCCAATATTGATAGTGCGAGCGTAGAAAACTGGTAGTTCTTGATCTCTCGCGTCTAGTTCTTAGGGCTTGGTCCCAGTTGTTCGGTTCACTCCTGCAGTGGACGAGGAAATCCCCTCTGCTTTCTTGCTTTTAGCTTCGGTGAGGTGGATGTTTTGTGGGTTAGTAGGTTGTAATTTGTAGAGTGATTAGGGAGCTACAGGTTGCTGGGAAGTTTAGAGAACTGCCATGACTCCTGTCTGTGTAGGTACCTGAAAGAGGATAGTAAGGTAGTGGTAAAGGAATGAAGAGAGAATAAAGAAGAGAGTGAAGTAGCACCATAGAGACTCTGGGAGCTGGGTTAAGGCCGTATCGCTAACCATCCTTGCCTTTAAACAGGAGTTTACGTAGATAGCCACTCCCCCCCTGCTCTATGTTCCCTGTCCCTGCGGAAGAGTTCCATGCCAGCAACACGCATCTCTTCGTCGGAGATGTCCGATGAGAGCCAGGATTCGGTGATGAATATGATGTCGTAGTGCTGATGTTCACGCAGCGTCCTCATTTCTGCTACCTTCCCTCTTAGCCCCCTAACGTTGCTGTACATACATATTAGAGTGTGCCTGGTGAGAGAAGAGGTCTGGTTGTGGATTTTCGAGGGATGATAGCTTATGTGGTTGATTTTAGCCTCGCCAGTCCTCATAGGACTGGCATTGTTCCGTTTTTTGTTTTGTTCTTAACTTGGGTGGGGGCTGTAGCAGCGGTGGCTTCTTTACTTGATGTATCTAACTCACTGGTCAGCGCCTGTGTGACGACCACTGACTCCAGAGGTTTTGGTGGTTGCCGTCTCTCCTCTTGCCTTGTGGGCATTAACAACGTCCGGTTGTCGCGAGTGAAGGAGTGTGTCTTCAGCCTCTTTGGCGGTATTTAGGGACACACGTAAAGGGGGTGGCTTATCTCGGGGTGCATGGCTTCCTCGAGAAAGGCGACATAAAGTTGCAGGGAGGGGAGGGAGTCCCAGCATCTGACAGTAGTCGGTCCACATTCGGCTGTCAAATTGTTCCCTCTCGACCAACAATGAGTCTGTCGATACATCGACGTTGAACAAAATGATCGAGTTGGTCCTCCTGTGACCTGGGTTCGTTGTGGGTGGCACGCCCGACTTCCCAATGGGTTTGAGTAATTCCACTGGTTGTTTCTCAGTCACGGTGTGTGGGGTGTTCGGAATGGGTTTCGTAGAGGCTTCGGCGGTCGATGTCTTTGGCCATGCGCTTGACGTCCCCTGGGGCCGGGTAGGGGTATGGAGACTTGACCTAATATGGTCCCCACGCGAGGTGGCGTGCCCACAGCTGGAGCTCTAGGTCTGTTTCCAGGTCTCTCTGTGTTATCCTTTGGTGTTAACCCTACTTTATTCGAGGATGCTGGTAGCTTTTGCGTGGCGGAGAGCATCTCCTTCAGGCTTTCTGTGCGGAGTGCGGGCATTTTCCTGCACTCTGGACAGATGTACCAGAACCACTTGCATGGTTGTCTCTTCATCAGCTTATAGTATTGTCGGGGGACTTTGGTATCGCAGTGGCAATGCGCCCATCGTTGACATAGGTTGCATGCAAATGCCTCATCGACTACCGAAACAACTTTGGTGCAAACACTGCAGCCATCGGGTGTCGTAATACAGCCTTCCTTCCATGAATAAGGTGCTACGGATTGTGGCGAACTGCTTGTGGCTGCCTTGTTCTGAAGCCTTTTACGTCGTCTTCTATTTCAGGCATGGTATGATCCTTGCTCAAGATAGGACTAGTTTGTGACGGGCTAGTGCTACTCTGTGTCACCTGTCTGATGGCGACTGGAATTCTAGAAACATGGGTTGGCCACTTCTTTAGAAGTTCGGTGTTCTGCCCTACCTCTGTTTGTCTTCTAGTACAGACTAGTGTGTTGTTTAGGGTGTTACTGGCCGTTTTGTGCACGACCGCGTTATCCGTGTCAAAGCTTCAGACCTAGCGTTTTGGGCAGACATGTCGCTATGATATAAACTTCTTGGGAAAACAAGTAGTTAACAACAATAAGAGGGTTGAAGACTGAATGCAGCAAAAGGACAGAATAGAAAAGGGAAGATAATTTATGTTGGCTCACCTTCAGACACTTGTCACTTGATCCTCTGCTCTTGACCAACGAGTTTAACCGTAAGCTCCAGATGCGTATGTATAACCAGGAAAGATATTTCCTGGGGAATGACCTCCGAGGAGAACCGAGAGCTAAGGCAGTTTGGCAGTTGAAACGCCCAAGAACCACTGACAGGAGGTAGACCGGTTGGTTCAAAGGAATAATAATGCCAATTTTCAACTGTTGAGGAGTGAGCTGACGAATACGCAGGGGTGAGGTGCGTGGACGGACAGAAGTGCTGCAAACGTTCGATGTTTTTAGATTGAGTATTGCAAGTGGGAGTTTTTCATTGTGGAAAAATCTAAAAGCTGACAGACGAGCGAAACACGTCACTACTCTATCTTCTAGATATGCTGTAAGCCATGCTAAGAGTGGTCCAGTGATAACCACTTTTACTAGTTTGGCTAGCATAATGTGGTGTGGGACGCTTTCAAAAGCTTCGGCCAAGTCCAAGAAGATAACATGAACTTGTTGTTTGTTGTCCCATCTGGTAGTCCAGTCATCCCAAGCGGTCATCAAGTCTGTGGCATACGACCGCCCGGTTCTGAAGCCATGCTGGGTGGGATGGACAATGCTGTTTCTGTTAAGGTAGACCCAAACAATATCTGCAACCAGGCTTTCCAGTACCTTGGAAAGTATGGGGAGTAATGCTGTTGGTCTGTAGTTACACGGGTTCTTTCGGCCTCCTCCTTTGAAGATTGGTGACGGGATTGCGCGTTTCCATTCTTTGGGGAGTTGACTTCCAGCGAGTGCGTGAACAGGTTGCATATGGGTGTGCTTAGCACTTCAGCACAGTTGCTTAGGACAACCGGTTTTATGTCGCCACAGCCTGGGGATTTCCTTATTCTTAGTGTTGAAAGTTTCGCAAACACCTGGCTTGACAAAATCTTCATGTTCATCAGCTTTGTATCGTAGTCCTGAGACTTCTTTACATTGCTAGATTTCGGTAGCGGATGTATAACTGGGTTTGGTTGCTCACCAAATCGACTGCTCAACAATTCCGCTATCTCACTGCTGTCCAAGGGTTCTCTGGCCGACCCGCTGCTCAGGTTTAAGCCCTTGTTCGTCGGCTTTCGTTGTGACACAAACCGATACAGACTTCTCGGATTGCAACTTAACTGTTCAGCCAGGTTGCTTTGGTATGTATACCTGTCATTACGAATTCTTACATTGCACAAGTTTTGTAAGGTCTTGTAGCTATGAATGTCTGATTCTTTGTGTGATGTACGCCACCGATAACATGCCTTCTTTTTCCTCTCTATTTGTCTTTGGGTTGCGCGAGTTACCCAAGACCGTTTTAGAGGTTACCGTCTGGCTAATTTTGGAACACTCTTTTCGATAGCGCTCCAGATAATATCTTTAATTTTTATCCAGTGTTCGTCTATC